GCATGCTCAACATATTATATGTTTGATTAGAAATAAGTTGGCAGCTGTTAAGATTTTAAGTTGTTGGCACCCCAGTGAAGGATATTTCATCCTCATTTGTTCGTGTTAAACACCCCATATAAACTACTCCAATGTAGCATGATTAGATGAAATAGATAATTTTTTCTGCCTTATTTATTTACAATATGCATTTGCATAGCCAATTATACACTCACTCCTGTGTTTTGCTGGTTTGTTCCCCAACTTCATCGATTTATTTTGTGTTTCCTTGCTTTCCTCCTAGAGTGCAACTTCAAAATGATAAAGAACTGCCACTGGGCCACCGGGAGCCCTCACATTTTTCTGTTATGTTCTTGCTACATATGCTCCCTTTCATTGGTTGAATGATCTTAGCATCCGTCAGATATCAATTGGAAAATGATGATGGATTTTCTACATCTCATTTGTTTATTTGCAGTCTGAGCTGGAAATAGAGCCACGGTACCCTTTATTTGGGGGATGGAAAGCCACTTTTGTCATTGGATATGGTCTACCCTTGCAAGACTTCCTTTTTGAGTCACCTGATGGTAGGCGCTACCTGAACTTCAGTTTTGGATGTCCTCTTGCGGAGACTGTGGTCGACAAGTTGACCATCAAGGTGGATACAGTTTTATGATTCCATGTCATTCAATTATTTCAATATGGCACCTTTACCTTCTGTGCTTTTTTTAGAGATATGCTAAAAAATTGATACTGATGCGGGAACTGTTGCCTTTTAGGTGGTGCTGCCGGAGGGCTCGAAAAACCCATCTGCTGTTGTTCCTTTTGCAGTGGACCAGCGTATTGAGGTAATTTTCTCATGCATCGTCAAACAGACCCACACACAAGTTGTTTTAGCTGAAAATTACCATATGTGTGTCTTCATCAATGCTACTATTTATATCCTAGCATCTGTGTCATTTGATCCAGTAATATCATTTATTCTTTTATTTAAACTAAGGAGTGAATTGCTTTATAAATATCTCAAATGTACAACAATGTTAAATTGTTTTCTGCATGAAAATATTCATTGTGATGTTTAGGCAATAGCAGATACGTTTCTCCAATGCTTAAGTGCATTTATCCCTCAATATTCTGTATGCTGCATTGTTAATTGAAATTGCCCTTTCATTTNTAGGCAATAGCAGATACTTTTCTCCAATGCTTAAGTGCATTTATCCCTCAATATTCTGTATGCTGCATTGTTAATTGAAATTGCCCTTTCATCTAAATCTCTGCAGACCAGTTTCTCGTACCTTGATGTTGTTGGAAGGACTGTGGTGGTTTTAGAAAAGGAAAATGTAGTTCCTGAGCACAACTCTCCTTTCCAGGTGATTTTCAACTCTCTTGTGCAGATCAAATTTTGTGCATGCTTTTCATTATTTCTGTGAGGCTCGATTGCCCATTGAGTCAATTGGCAACCACATCTCGACAATTCAATTCTTTCAAAGTAGTTTAGAGATTCATGACTCTTCCACAACTGATGTACTGAGAAATACTTAATTTAGACATTTTAAGAAAAAATTGTGTTCAAAGTGGGATAACATCTTCTACATGTTGGTGCTTGAATAACAGGACGGAAGCAGAATTATAATAGGGCTTGATTGGCTTTTCTAACACCTGCTATCTTGTGCTTCTGTAGTACTTATATTTTTTAGCTAAAATGAGTTCGTTCATTAGTAAACTGTACTTCAGATATTTTATTTGTGTCAGAGAGGCTTGGTAGTTAGCGTCTTACACCTGATGACTTACGGTTAGAGGCTTAAAAAGTGCCCATTGTTATTCTCAGATGGATAGTAATCTTAGCCTCAGGTCCTAAACTGATGATCATATATAGTTTTTCTTGACTACTAGAGACAATGACAGGACAGAGCGGAGATGTTTTATTTTTGTGCTGTAGGACTAATTCTTGGGGTTGATCACGCTTTTGTTATATGTACTACAAGCATTTATTCCTCCTAATTGTATTTACTCTAAAATTGTTTTTCCCTTTTGTTGTTGTTTACGAATACAAATCATAACAAGGAGTGTCCTTTCTACTGCTTTGTTACTTCTGTTTCTGTATAACCCGTGTGCCATTGACCCCCCTGGAAACCTACTTTGCAGGTTTACTACAACTTCAATCCTATTTTCATGCTCGCAGAGCCATTAATGTTGGCATCGGTGTTTTTCTTTTTTTTCATTGCATGTGTAACTTATCTGCATATGGATATTTCGATACGCAAGTGAGAGAGTTCAGATCTCGGGGGTTTTCAAAGGTATGCTCATGCAACTTAGTAGTGATGTTCCTCAAAATTGCTATTTTCTAAAACTTTTCCTCTTCACTTTGTAGCTGTGCTGGCAAGTCATTTCAGATTAGCCTCTGTGACTGGAGCATATGAGAAGTAGCTACAACTTTTCAGTAGGTTGACGGTAAAAGACTTTCCCGGGTACTTTTAGGATTATGAAATTTTCTAAGCGCAAACGGATAGTAGTCAAAAATATGTTGTTTGTACATTGTTTCCATCAGTGAATATTTTAATAGACCCCCCTGCATTCAAAGGGAGAATCAAAATGTTGTGGAATATTCACAATTAGCGCAAGTATTTTAGATGGGGAACACGCCCCATTTCTACAATTCTTACTCGCAAACAGCAGAAGATTCATCAGTGCCCGGTCTGGTAAAAAAGCTGAAAACTTTTAGTTCAATTCTTGAATTGGTTTTGCGATAGTAGGAAATATTGGAGATTCATTAGAAGCAGCAAGTTGTCTCACCTTAGCCTACTGTGAACATGATCATGGGGGCTTATCTTGCTATTATTATGTGGAATTGTTTTCTGTTATTCACCTGAAGAAAGGGATAGACCAAAGCGGTAATTATGGATTCAGTGCAGGTTGGAGATTCAAACGTCGTTATAGATGGAATTCTCTCTTGCATTTAGGTACATAGTTCTTGTAATCAAAATTGCCAAAAAAAAAATAAAATACAGAATCAAACCAGAATTGAAAATGCAATGAGGTTGTCTTGGCCAGAAGGAACAAATCTGAGCCAAGTTTTCATTCTCTTCGACAGATAAAGGTCTATTCAAAAAAAGAACTGTTATAATCAAAGGGTTAATTGCTTTTTATTCCACGGGGTTTCGACTATGAATATCTTTTTTACTTAATGTTTAAAATTATGAATATTATTCTCTTATAGTTATATACCAAAGTGAAGGAATTGACATTGTTAACGGAATTAAAAAATTATTATAATGTCCACATTTTAAAATTAGATTTTTTGTTTGATTCATTCTTAACTATAAAACTAATAGAACATATAGGCTTGACAATTGTGTTGAGCGGAATAGTTTTGTGGCGGGTGGAATGAATTTGTGTTAAAAAATCTTCAATCCATATCCTATTCATTTATATAAATGAGTCTAATTATTATATGTATACATGAATCGTTTATTAGTCGGGTTATCTGATATATCCCGTGTGTCACCCGCTAAATAAAAGAATAGGCTAGATAATTTTGAGTCCACGTGACAAATCATTAACTCACTATATATTATACATGTTTGATCTGTTTATTATAACAATAAATTATGGTTTGACAAAAAAATAAAGATAAAAAATAAGTATTAAATCACTACTAAATTTAAATGATTATGAGAAATGGGAGGTGTGAGATGAGACAGAGTTTAAGAGACTAAACTTGTTTTTTAAAATTTTTTTGTATCATTGCTAACGGGTTGAAACGAGTTTATGCGTTAAATACAAAATCGGTTCATTTATTTCACGAGTTTGCCGAGTTAACTCGTTAAACACCCAAACCCATTTGGACTACATCCAAACTCGTTAAATTCGTGTTAGGTTCATATCGATTTCACGAATCGTATTTAAAATTATCGAGTCTAGAAATTTAGCAACAAATTAACATATTTTAATTAAACATGTCGAATATTTTTTTCTAAAAAAGAATTATTGTAATCAAATCATCCCACCTCTCCCATGACTTTTAGCGTCATAAAAAAGTACACCCACCCCAACCCCACCTCCCCCATTCCTACCCCCACCAGGACACCATGAACCAAAATCAGGGTGCTACAGAAATGGATGGGAACCAGAAAGTTTGATAAGGACCAGTGATGTCATGTAACTGCAACCCCCCACGCCCCCTGAATCTGCTGTTCTGCGTTGACCAATTCTCTCTTTTACTCTCAGAAACTGGTCCATTACAACGCTTAAGCCCTATACAAAATGTTTGTTTTGGAACTCCATCTGCCTCAGACTTGTATACAAATTGAAGTCCTATAGTTGCTGGCATTGCTCTAAATAATACTGGGTTTTATCAGGTGATTTTAATGGGGTCAATGGTCATGACATCAATAGATTTGAATCTTTAAAGGGGAAGTGTGGTTCTATGGGGGGCAAGAGGGAGGGTTTATCAGGTTGCTTTAATAGGGTCAATTGTCCTGACATCATAGTAGATTTAAAAGGAGCTTAGAATAGATGTTTCACACTTTTGGAATAGGAAAATATATTTTTTTATTTTTGGAGGGATGGTAACAACTTTATTACATCAGAGGTGTTCGATGTTGTCGGGCAAGGGAAGGGTTTCATGAGGTGACTTTAATTGGGTCCATAGTCATGACATTGGAATAGACCAAATCTTTTAAAAGGAGCTTGTAATGGATATTCAACGCTTTCGGAATAGGAAGAAAACTAGTTTTACTTTTTGATGAATAGAGAGAATATTATTACTTTAGAGTTGTGCGATTTTATCGGTAAGGCCGATAATTGAGCAAAATTTGACAAACTTGAGTTGACATTGTCGAACTCGTTTTTTTACAAGAGATTAAAAAATTATTCAACCTTGACTTGTTTAACAAATGAGCCGAGCCGAGCTAAGCTAAGCTTGAGCTCTAAATGATCTGAGCCGAGTAGAACCTGAGTGTAGTCCGAGTAACTCGAAAATTTAATTGAGTTGAATTTTATGAGATCGAATCGAGCCTAAAAAATTATTTAAGCTCAACTCGAATTGAGTCCTATATGAGTTAAATTCGAGCTGAGCCTGAGTAATTAGACTCGATTATCAACCCTAATTATCAGGAGGGGGAGGGTTGAAAACTTGAAATATCCGGCCAACTGAATTGACCCTTAGCTTCCTTCGAAAAACAAGTTAAACATAACTTTGTTAGGCAGTGTTAAATAAGAATGAAGGCTATAATGATACATAGGTTTATTGGTTCTTGACCTAATGTAAAATTTTAGGTGGGGAATGTCATATCTTAGGGTGTAGTATGATGGTAATGGCAAACAATTAGAGTGGTTTGCTTTTGGTTCAAGTAATAACAGCTGGAAAATCACAATGAGTGGTATGATGTAAAGTCTTTGTCCCTTCTTTTTTGTTTTTATCCCTATATTTTTAGATTACTTTGTATATCATATTTTTTTTCCTTCTATACGACGATCAATTATACGAGACATTTGTCACTACATAATTTGTAAAGAATTAGATATACGTAGTAATACAATATGTATAAATAGACTATTTTCTTAATTCAAACCTATGACACTTATATCATAATTAAGGGTAATCAGTGTCTGAAGACATGATGAAACGTAAGTGAGAAGCGATAAATTTAAAGGGGAGAGAAAATTCAATGTGAAAGGTTTTGAGAAGGATATTGATGACTATTTGATGAATCTATTTGAAACCGTCAGATGGTCTTATTGAAGTCTGTCTTGTTTTATATTATAAGATTATAGGTATAGATGAAACAATCTTATCTTTGAGTGAAACTAGCATGTACATCTAACACTTTTTCTTTTCTTTTTTTTGCTATAGGGTATTCAGGCACTACTCTCTCGAATTTGGATAATGGACACTATAGTCCGAGCGGGTTTAGCATATCTCCTGAAGAACAAGGGTAGATGACTCTTAAGAGGTATGAAAAGTGTTGAACATTAAACCTCTGAGTTATCAGATGACAGACTCAACCTTTGAGCCACCTCTAAAAATTCACTTACATCTAACTCTTGTCAATCTTATAATAGTAAAAACTTCGTCCCTTGGCCTTTTTTCTAAATAACTTTTGTTTTAAATTAAACATATGTCACAAGCAAGTAGACCTAAAAAGTTTAGGTTGATATAGGCAGCTAATTAAGACCAATTCCTACTGTCATTTGACTCTTACTACTTCTTGGTATCAACAAAATATCATTATTAGAGAAAGGTATCTAAGAATCTGTCTCTTCGAATTATTCTATTGTGCTTTTCTTAATTGCTTGTTATAGTTAAACCCATTGAACATCAATTAACAACTAAAATTTAAAAAAGAAGTTCTGATCTATCATCTATGTGATTTGGGTTAGGCAGCAGATAAGAAGATTACAAAGATTTATAATAAAAAATAATAATAATAAATCAATCATTAGGGTTAGGTTAGAAAATTACAAAGTTAAAAAAGATATTCAAATAATTGTAGTTAAGTACTATGATTTTGATGCTTGCCTTTTAAATTATTTCCTAAGCATCTTCCCAACTTATTCATGGTAGGTTGGATGCTGATTAATTTCCATTTAAAGGATGGAATTAGACAATTTTTTTTTCTTTTCTCTATACTTAGGAACAAAATTAGACATCTATCGACCAAGGGTTTAGTTTGGGTGACTTCATGTCATCTCCGAAGGCTCACTCTCGCTCGCAATACTATGTCGGGGGTTCGAATCTCTTTTAGACCATAAAACGGAAAAAATAATAAATTTGCAAGTCTTATGCGAAAATTTTGTAAGTAGAATTCACCTTAAGTATAAACTTGAGAGAATTCAATCAAAATTTCTTTTAATGGGTTTTATTTGTTAGACTTGGTAAAAGTTTTAATGTTACAAGTCAAGCAATAAAGAGTGTGACATATGAATTATTAAGTAAGGTTGTGCTTGGATAATCAAATGGTGTGTGTAGGATAGGAACCGCATGTGCTTAGGAGGGTTAAACAGATTCTCTATAAGACCTGAATATCTTCTAATTAGCTAAAAAAATTATATATAAGATATTTTTTATGTTACACAATCCAAAAAATAAATTTAAATAACACCCGTAACGTGATTTTATCGAAATTACCCAGTTGCAAACTTGTGCATTAGCAGTTTTAGGGAAGAATTTGACTAGCGTAAAGAGGCTCTATTTAGGGCTAATGAAGCCTGTAAGAGTATAACTAGTCAAATTATGGATCTTCAGTAGGAAAAACTGAAATCAAAACACCAATATAAGGGGAAGTCTTCTCCTATAGTACTTTCCAACTGAAATAGATCAAAGAAATTAGTATCAGGGTAGTTTGGATGGAAAAATCAATAGTGATTACTCTTGAGATTATTAGCTGTACAATCACAAGGTAGTCTTGATTCATCCAACATTTTTATTTGCGGGTAATTGTGTGAATTCGAACCTTACATTACAATCACAAGTAAAAAAAAATATATATATGCCGAGTGTGATGAAGACGATTCTTCGTTAATTAGAAATAAATTAAAAAAAACATTTTTTTCAACTCTATATCAAGCGCCATTTATCTCCAAAATATAAATAAAAACAAAAAATCTAAAGACACAACCATTTGTTCCTTGCACTCCGTGAAAGAAAAAAAATAGAAAATGAATAGCAAATGTATATTACTTTGATGTACTTTATCATATAATTGAGGAGGTTGATTTATAGTACAAGAGAGTAATGGGATTTTCTAGACTAACTTATATGGAACAAATATATAAATATTAACATCCCCATCAAACTCAGGTACATCATTGTGAGCAATAGAATTATGATTGTCACAATTAAAGTTTAAAGGGTCGTCAAAGGATGGTCGGGAAGCGATCAGAAAGTCACCGGAGGATGGCCGGAGCATATCGGAATTTTGCTGGAGGATGGCTGAAAGAAAAGAACCTCAAGAGTTGTGAAGTGTAGGATTCCTTGCAGGGCAACCACAAAATATATTATCCTTGGTTAAAAAGATTCACGAGCCTAGATTCTGTTTCTATGTGAAAAAAGATAATAGTAAATGAATTACTTTGGTGTATTTTACTATATACATGAAGAGATTAATTTATAGTATAAGAGAGTAATGAAATTTTCTAGGTTAATCGATATAGGACAAACATATACACATTAACGCACTCAATTAGTGAAAATAAGTGTTGGTTGTTAAATATCAAAATGCTTGATTATCATAGAATTTTCCCTCTCCCACCCAATATGACTACGTTGTTTTGGTGTACATAGCAAGACTCTTTTTCAATATTTTCCCTTTTATTATAAATTTTAATTTATTTTTCAATCTATCGTCATTTAAAATTCCAACATAAAAACGTAATTCTGAAACACGTTTTTACATTAAAATTATGTGTTTAAAAAACTATTTTAAGTTGACAAGGGTAGAATGAGGAATAAGTTTGAATAAATTGTAGAATAAGTTGTAAAAAAAAAACATTTTGATAAAAAAGAAATTCTTCATTTCATCATTAACTAGTCCAAATAAAAAATTCCACTAAGTTTAAGGGGGTGGGGGGAAAAGTGCCTGGCTTGTAGCCTATGTTAGGATTATGAATAAAAAAGAAAATTGATTAAAGGGTGGCATATGGTGCCATCAAGGCCGATCTAATATAAATTGAGGTCCTAAGTGAAAATTTAAATATATTTTTTTTTAAAATTCGATTTTAACATATAAATAATGTAGTTATAATTTCATTTAAAAATCATTTTCTCTATTTTTCAAAGGTAACATTAAGCTTTTATATTCAATTAGAAAATATTTTTCAATCTCTTATCATGCAGTGATTTTAGTTTATTTAAAAAAAATTTAAAATCACAAAATACCATGAATATATATAAAAAAAAGAAATAATTACCACAGTCATCAATTGTAAATAATAATAAGGTGATGTATAAAATTGAGATAAACTACTAACTATCATAAATTAAAAAAAAAATATATATATATATATATATGTATATATATATATATAATTATATATATATATATAAAATTCTAGAATACAAATTACCATATAAATCATGAAAGGATAACACTTTATATTTGACATTTTTTGACTGAAACCCAATCCGAAAATCTAATTCATTACTATTATTAGGTTAGTAGTAGATACTATCTAATACTGAAAACTATAGTTAATTCAATAATTAAAGTATATGAAGTTTCCAAATTAAATTCTAATATTTTATTCTTTAAATCGATAAATAAATAAAATAAAATACACTAAACGAATTATAAAAAATTAAACAATGACTTAATTGGCCTTGCAATCTAGCTGGCCATGGGTGGCATTTGTATAGGCCAGCCTATGATGAATGAATCAAAAAGAGAAAGGGGTCAAGGAGGGTAAATAATCAAGTAGCAAAGTGATACTATGTTAACACCTACACGCAGTCTTAGAATCTAATAACACCCCATGACATATTTGATTTAGGTATTAAGAGATGAAATTATAGTAACCCAACATTAATTTTTTAATTAATTCCGACCCAGTTCATTATTATGATTTAACACATAATATTAGGTATTAATGAATACTATGTGGTAGGTAGTATTATTTTTAATAAATTTAATATTAAAAACACAATAATTTTACTACCCTTATATATTCAGATTCACAGATTCATATAATAGTTACACATAATATAAACTCTTTCCCCCAATATTTGTTTTATTATTTTAAATTAAATACCATATACTACTACTTAATCCGAACATAATTTGGTATTATAATTATAGATTTATATATTATTTCAATCTTGATCTAAATTTATTACACAAAAGATAGGATCAAATAATAATAATAATAATACTCTAAGTAATACCATTTGTATGAATTTGATGGTAATCAACCTATTTTATCCTTTGTTTGTATCCAAACAAAATATGTCTGACACGCATACGGTGTTAACACGCACACAAACACCCCCACAAATATATATATATACACACTAGGGGTTTGATTAGATGATTTTTGGGAAGAGGTTTGAATTAACTTCTCTAAATCCTTTCAAACCCAAATTTCTCTTTGGGATTCAACATTTAATTCGTTTCGTACCTATATTTGGTATGCAACACAAACACATGTAGGACGCACATTGATATGAATCAATCAAATTCATATCGATTTTAAGAGGTACAATTGTATTTTACATTCTTAACCCCTTAACCCATCTTCCCAAACCCACACCCTTCGTATGTTTGACAAAACACATGATCGTGAATTTAATTTTTGATCCAACTACAAGCTGGGTTTAACAATTTGAGATTGAATTTTTAATTTAAACATGAAATTTGAGGGCCTTTAAATTATTTTTCTCAAACCTATTTTGTCAAATCCCCCATACACTCTTGTCAAATAGCCCCTATTGGTTATGCAGATAAGATGATGATTTTTAGAGGATAAAAAAATTATGGGATAAATTTTATATTATTGAATTAAAACAAATAAAAATTAAATTAATTTTGATCATTGTTATATTTTTATACATTGTTAATTTAATTTTTTACCAGTAATATTAAATGAATATCAAATTATTATTTAGTTTTTACTTGGGATTGATTTTAGTTTGACCTAGTAAAAGGGAGAGAGAGAGAGAGAGAGAGAAGCACCACATTGGTTTTAGCAAATCTTTGGAAGGAATGAGGAATCAAAAGAGAAAGAACACCATCCACTTGGATGCCTCCGCAGCCCCCAAGATCCTTATTTTAAGCAAAAAGACAGCAACCTTTTCTTCTAGGGTCTTCCTAAGTATGGTAGTTAAGTTTCTTTCCTAACCAATTATAAATGCCATATTTTAAAAATGTTTAGAAATCTTTTTTGTAAAACTTTTATTTCTTTATTTAATAAGGTGAATAAAAAAAAATAGCAATGCTATATAGACTTAAAAATTAGACTTGATAATCTTAACCATTAATTTTACTGCGGGTCCTAACATTTATTAGGACCTACTACCTATTCAATAGTTGAGATTATCAAGTCTAATTTTTAAATCTAATTTTTAAATTCATCTAGTATTACTTAAAAAAAAAAAAGATAGTTTGTTGAGTGTATATGATGATAATCATTTCATGACGAGGTATAGATAATAGAGCAAGACAAATTAGGAATCAATTAAGGAAAGAAAAAAGAGAAGGGGGGTTGCTCATACTATATATTTACCATATTACCCATACTATGGCCGCAAAACTACATTACTCCAGCATTTAAATAGTTATTTTTTTAAATTTCTAAATGCCCCTATCTTACCGTTGAGAAAATTGTAACTACTTGAGTTGATTAAATGACAGATTTGAAAGCGAAATGACATATGCCATAATTATAGCTCATTAAAGAAGTAATATGTTTGTCTAGAGATATTAACAAAGAAAAATTATTGTTTTAACACGGTATTTTATATAGAACATACTAAGATAATAAACTCAAGTTTAGTTGAAGTAATTGTTCAAGAGATAACACCAAATAATATAAGTTATTTTGATCATACAAGGTAATCATGTCCTGTAATGACACTCTTTAGTTGGTAATTCTCATAACTCCTCCTGTCCTCCACGCTCAATTACAATGGAAGGCGAAAAAAGAAACTTATGGTATTAATGTTATTCCTTCAAAATGGAGTTAATGAGTGATCGATGGGTAAATGGTAAGTTACTTTTCACATAATTTCACTTATGGCAGATGATAAGTCTCAAAGTTCAAAGACTGGTCAAAATAGGATTCCAAAAACAGAAGTAATGTGGTTTTTGGTAATTGAAGACCCATAAAAGGGCAATTTGGTAAAATCGAAGGTTCTGTTAACCTGTCAGGCATATATACACCAAAATCAGTTATTTTCAAACGAGAAGAGAAAAGGGGAGAAAATATTGAAAGCTTGCCGGAGAATCCAAAAAAGCCTGACACTCTGAAATTGATTCTCTGATTCCCTTAGGTGGGATCAGAGGATCATCTCTTCCCACCATCCCAATCACTTTCTTCATAAATAGTGATTTAAGAAATATATGTATGTATATGCGTATACGTATATATAATTTCCATATCAACAATCCTCTTGGCTGTTGAAGCTTTCGAAAATTTGAATTTTCGTTCATGGGTTCGAATATATCTTGATATAAGCAAGTTTTGGGAACAAAAAAGTGGGTTTTGTTTGATATCTCCAAATGGGTATCCCGCAAATTGATGGGAAAATGGAGGGGTGGCTTCACCTCATTCGTTTCAATCGATTTGGGTTGCAATATTCACGTAAAAGGTATTTCATTCTCCAAGAAAACTGTCTCAGGAGCTTCAAGTCAATACCCACTTCAGACAGAGAGGTATAGGACTCGGACTCGGACCTATTTGCTTTTCTTCCTTGTCCAACTATTATATGAATCGAACTATGTACCCTGTTTTTTCGAATTCTTNGTAAAAGGTATTTCATTCTCCAAGAAAACTGTCTCAGGAGCTTCAAGTCAATACCCACTTCAGACAGAGAGGTATAGGACTCGGACTCGGACCTATTTGCTTTTCTTCCTTGTCCAACTATTATATGAATCGAACTATGTACTCTGTTTTTTTGAATTCTTTTTTTTTTGTTTAATAAAATCTTTTGTTAAAAGAGATATATTGTGCCTATGTAGGTGAATATCTTTATTATTTCAAGTTTTCTGTTAGGGTTGCTTGTCTGAAGTTTTTAGACTAAACAAGCATTGAACTGGGTGTTTATGTTTTGTAGTGATTGTCTAATTTTTTTTCCTTTTTTTTTTGGTTTTATGGGTCAAGCGAAGACAAAATATGGTGTTTTTGCGTATGTTGGATTCTTTTTTCTGCAGGGTTTATTTGTTGTTGTCCAAATGAATATTGGAGTTTTTAAAATTATGTTATATTCCTTGTTTGATAAACATCTTCACGAATGCATATTAAGCTTTTGTGGCTTTTGGTTTATGTTGCCTTCAATTGTCCTTGTTCGGGAATGGTATCAAGCAATAAGTTATGGTGGCATTNAATGCATATTAAGCTTTTGTGGCTTTTGGTTTATGTTGCCTTCAATTGTCCTTGTTTGGGAATGGTATCAAGTAATAAGTTATGGTGGCATTTTTTTCGTTGTCTTAATGTCAAGTCGTGTTAAACATTTTTTGTTCTATGTTACTTCTATCAAAAAGGTGGCCAACTCATTACTTCAAACCTTATTAGGTGTGTATTTTGGTAGACTTATTAGTTCCCTGCCTTCTGGAAGTGAATGAGCTAAGCTAGATTCTTAGTTTTCATTTGGATTACTAACTGTGGTTACCTGTCTTTTAGAATATGATGATTGACCTCTGACTATAAAAGCCCAGGCCATAAGCGTTAATGAAAGTGTTCTTTCAGATCTAGAATTCCCATATTTTATCTTGGAACTTTCTATTTCAACTCCATATATTGAAAATGACCATGCAATTGTGGAGCTTCCTGTACTTTTACACTATCATTCTGCCGTATTGTTTAAGGTTCTATAGATTGGTTTCAAGTAGGATTTATGATGTATATATCACCTTCTAGGCTGAGCTCTGAATTGTAATACAAAAGCAATGAAGTAATAGAATTGCAGCATTACACATTGTTCAATGCTTCCTTTAATCTGAGGGGATGCTTTTGATAAGCAAGAATTTTCGCCCTTAAATTTTAATGAAATCAGTATACTTGAGAATTATCCATTGTTTATAGATGTTTCACTCCAACAATTAATCTGCGTGTGCAAGTTATTCAGTAGTATACACTGTTTGGCAGTGGAGGACTCAGTGATGGAGATTTGCAATTTTATGGAGCTGTATGGTGCAAGTGCATGATTTGGTGCTATATCTTATATATTCCCTCTCTTATTCACAGAATTATGTGATAATAAACATCCAAAAGGGAGAACTATGTTTAGGGTAAAACAAAAGCTATCTGACTTATACGCAGACCTAGGTATGAAGCCAAAAATTCAAAATTAGGGGGGCCAATGGAGAGTGGAACAAATTTCACTATGGTATTGAGAGCACCCATGTTGAAAAGAACCACAGGTCAAGGGGCAAGTTAATTTAAAAATTAACTCAAAAATTAAGGGAACAAAAAGTAATTTTCAAACTCAGGGTCAAGGGGCCATGCATGGTCTTTCTTTGGCTTTGCCACTACACACTTTTCTAACCAAGCAAGACTAGCATCCACGATCTATTTATCATGATATCATCAAACTAAAATATTGACAAAATATATCCCCTTTTAATATCCAGTTGTTCGCCTCCAAGCAAAACAAAGATTTCTGTCATTTATTTCAGCAGGCAATATTTTTTTTGTTTGCATGTGGATTGTTTGTCTAGATATAATAAATGTCAACTTATTTGCAAGAAATTAAATAACTGGTAGCCGAATATATATTTGCTTTGATTCCATCCAAATCTGTATTGACAAGTACCAATAAGTGGACAAATTTTTCTGCAGGAGCCAGTGAGAAGTGCAATTGTAGACTCCTGCATTCGGGTCATAGACAATGGAAGAGAAAGTCATCACAGAAAAGTAAGTAACATACAATGTATCTTTGTGCATGGTAAAAATAAAACTTGTCAATGTGTATACAATTGTGTCACATTTCTTACATTCTCTTTTTGTTGTCATAATAATTTGGCGCAATTTGCAGGTATTCTTCATTTTCACCCTGTATAATACTTCTAACCACTATGATCAGCTAAAGGTGCGATAACTTATTTGTCAAGGATGTGGACTTTCCATTGTGTGACTCTTGGTATGTAAGCCCTAAAATTTCGTATTTTATAGTTGGGAGCAAGCAGTCCAGAAGAGGCCGGTAGATGGATCCAATCTTTACAGGATGCAGCACTTAATCCAGGAAAGAATTTAAAATCTTCTTCAAAGAGAAAATGGCAGCCTTTTAGGTAAATATAGTCCGGGGTTGTAATTTGATCAAATGGTAACATCTCAGTAATTAGCTTTTGAGTTTTGTTTCGTGTCTTGGGTTTCAGTTTTTCATGATCCCTTTTCTTGCATAATGATTGTTTTAAGTTCAAACTGTGTTTGGGGGGCAAAGAAATAAACATTTACAACTGGTGTTAAGTTTGTTTTAAGTTCAAACTGTGTTTGGGGGGGCAAAAGAATTAACATTTACAACTGGTTTTAAGTTGCATATACATACATGGCTGGCTCTATGGAGAGATTGACCTCTATGTACTCTGATATTAGATTTTATATTCTTACTAGGTTCATTTCATCCTTTATTCAATACTGTTAGGTACATTTCATTTTTGGTTTTATAAGTGTTCTAAGTTATATAATTCTAACCTTTAAATGTATTAGAATTTCCACCTCCCAGCTACAAGTTCCAAGTATTCATTTTATTCACTATTTCAAGAAGCCTTTGGATAGGCCCACTTCATATATTTTTGGCTTCACCTCACCTGAATCATGCCTATGTGAATATCGTTAAAACTTATGTGCAAACTAACGCTTACTTTAATCTAAGATCTCCTTGAATCATCTCTGGATTCTAGATCACAATTAACAAATACCTGTTCCAGTACCCAAAAAAAAAACGAATACCTGTTTGGATCAGATTTTTTTTGGATGATTGGGGTTTGAAGTGCTTGAATTTAAAATTTTCCTCTATTTGGTACTTCATAAATTTGTTTGATCTGTGGCCCTATTTACCTTAGAGCTTTGTTTGTACAGTTTAAGTGTTTCAAAGAGGAGAGCCCATAAAAATTCTGTAGACTGGGCCTCTGCTTCATCCATGCATGTGGATGCAATGACATCTGACGTGATAGCACCTTCGCCATGGAAAATATTTGGCTGTCAAAATGGTAAGAATTGGTCTCTCTTCAATTTGGTTTTGAGTAGTTAAATGCATAGTTGTTGATAATTTGTCACCTACGCAGGGCTCCGGCTATTTAAAGAAGCAAAAGATAGGGATTCCAGTGGGATGGTGGGTTTTCCTTTTAACTTACTTGTCAGTGACTGTTGTACATATTTGTTGTTGCTGTTGAAATACGTATGTTGCCATCCTCAGTATTGGGATGATAACCCTGCAATAATGGCTGTTGGTGTGGTTGATGGAACTTCAGAGGCTGTTTTTCGGACTCTCATGTCTCTTGGTCCCTCAAGATCAGAGTAAGATTGCTGGAATGTTTTCACTATCTGCCAATTTTTTAGGTTTTAATTTGCAAAAGCCAATGTGATAAGAATGGTGTTATAAAATTGGTGATTGTGTAATATACCTGTTAGGCAAGCGTAATGTCATCTTCATCATGAACATGCTACAGATGCTCGTTATGATCCATATGTTACACATTGTTCCATGAGTTTCTTCATGATACTCTGGTTTTTACTTCTTCAAAACATCAAAGTAAAGAAAGGTTGGGTTTTTCTCATTTCAGAAATTTAAAGGTAACACAAAAACCTGCTCACGTGAGCCTGCTTAAAGCAGTTTCAGATTTGGATGCTCTATTTGTTGACCTGCAACTGACAGAATGGCAATTGGAACGTGCTGCATGTTTAATTGTTTGCTTGTCAAAATTGGATGCAATTTTTGCACCCACTTTCTGTTATTAACATGGCGGAAGACATTTTTAGGTTCCCTCTTGGACTGTTAAACAAATCAAACAGCTTGAGTTCAGCTCAGGCTCAACTTAGTTTCAATTGGGTCAAGCTTGTTACTATTCGAAAATGAACCGAACAAAAATGGATTTTTGAGTTTGTTTACTATTCAAGCTGAGCCCAAGCTATGTGTTGTTTGCCTCATTATGCTTGAGCTCAATTTCCTTATAACGTAAATGTGTAAATATTTTTTTGTGATGAAAAAAAAAAAAAACAAATTATCACCCTTAGCTTATGTATAGGCCATATAACTTCTAATCAAACTGTTGTTTGTTCGAGGCTCGTTGGAGGGTATGTTTTGTATTCTTTCGTGCTGAGCCTGAGCATATGGTTTAAAAACCACGCCAAGCTTGAACAAGAATCGTATCTCAGCAACTGAGTCTACTGAAACTGAAGAGCTAAGCTCAATTAAAACTCCCAGTTTCCTGTGTAAATCAGTCTGCAAGACTCAAGTCTTTGCATATCGTTGTTGCTGATAATGAACTTCTATTATTCAAGGGCTGAACTGCTATGATGTTTTGCAGATGGGACTTCTGTTTCCACAGAGGTAGTGTGGTTGAGCACCTTGATGGTCATACAGATATAGTTCAAATGCAACTATACAATGATTGGCTACCATGGTAAGATTTGTAAATTTATTAAAGAGAGTCATATTTATGATATATTCAATTGATTAGCACCCCTACTCTTTACAGGGGGATGAAACGAAGGGATTTACTGTTGCGTCGTTACTGGAGAAGGGAGGATGATGGCACATATGGTACTATTGTTTTAGAGAATTTTGGTTATGAACATGACAACCTAAACCTTTTTTGAGTCTTTGACATGCGCTAACTTTTTTATGCTTGTTTTGATGCAGTAATTTTATACCATTCTGTGTTTCACAAAAAGTGCCCACCAAAGCCTGGCTATGTTCGTGCTTGCCTTAAAAGTAATGTATGCTTTGAATTGGGAATTACATATGGATTTTTACCTTTCCAGTTGCTGGCACTTAGAACATGTTTTAATAATTAACATCTCTGTCTTGACTTTCCTTTTTCATCTATGCACCACAACACTCTATGTCCTCATTCTCCTCCCTAAATGTTGATGGTTTAAAATGAAATGTTTCAATAACTATAAGTGATGTTGGTTGAATGATGTGTGTTCACATACACAATAGGCTCTTAGGAGCTAACATGCTATATTTCCCTCAACATTAACTGAATAGTATTGGTGATACTATAATCTTTATGCCACCTAGGAACATAACATAAACCTTGATTTAATTTTATCAGAATGGCATCATTTTAAACAATTACTCTTTTAATGCTATTTTATCGTAATTAAAAAAAAAAAAATCCTCTTTTGTACTTTGCCCATGCTTAGCCTAGGGACTAGAGTTGTTAAGATATTATTTGATGAAGCTTTTTCGTATTTGGATTCACTTATTTTCAATCGTGTAGGCGGTGGATATGTGATAACTCCAGTGAACCAAGGCAAAGAATCAGTTGTAAAACACATGCTTGCAATTGATTGGAAGTTCTGGAAATTCTATCTGCGAAAAGCTTCTGCAAGATCAATAACAATCCGTATGCTTGGTAGAGTTGCAGGTACCCTTCTATTGATCGATAAACAAATGCTCATTCTGTCTCAGTTACAGGTTTTAATTAAAGTGGGAATCTTTTACGTGAAATGCATGTGATATGTATTTTTATGTCTTGCAGCTTTGAGAGAGTTGTTTCGAGCAAAAACAGGAAATTATTCCTCCTCTGAATTTTCATCTGGAGAGTTCACAAGAGATATTAGGATGTCTCTGACTGGAAACGAGGATATCAAAACAGAAGTTGATTTGATAAAGACAGAAGAGGACAAAATGGAAGATGAGGCAGGGAAACCACTTTCAGGGTCGTCAAGTCTTATGGGACTGAATGATGCTTCTGATGAGTTTTATGATGTTCCAGAACCATTGGACGATGATCAATTAGAGCATGAGTGGCCTTCTGATCTAAATTCCGAATTGCTTTATCTGGTATTTATTGGTCTCACATCTTCAACTTTATTTTCTAGAATTGGTACAAGCAAGCTCTTAAAAATTTTCTCTGCATTTGTCAAATCCATCTAGTCGATTACATCCACATTCTCTTCTTTGTATAACACATTGTAGGCACCCACTTTTATCTTGGCCTTTTGATTACCGGTGTTGTTTGGGGAGGAATCTATGGAAGTTTAACGACCATGGTCATCTGATTGTTTTATTGTGTAGTTTTCCTTAGAAAGTCCATTCCTGTGGCATATTTCAGCATTGTGTGCACTTGATCAGGAGATGGGGCAATTATGAATTGGATTGGCTTCCCATAATAGTTCAGAATTCATCACTAGTAATACATTGACAGGCATGTGATTGATTGCATAGATCAATTGCGGATTGCAGTTCAGCCATTATCTATGTTATTAGCATCTTGGTGTTGTTCATTTGATGCATCCACGTATTTAATTGCTATATAAAACTTGATGAAATGAAATTATTACTATAGGAATTGGAACTGACACCACTATATGTTGTCTCTTTACACCTTTAACGTGGTATGATTGACAACTGTTGCTTTATTTTCTGACATGACTTTTTGACAATGCGATGAACAGGAGGCATACCAGCCTAAGATGTCGTCAGCTGAGAAATTCGTGAAGAAATTGCATGATCTTGCTGGTTAGTCGTCTTTGGGTGGTTAAAGTCATCTTATTGGAACAAATAGAATTGAAGGTTTTTATTGGTTGTTTCTGACGGGGTATATTTCAGAAATTGCTGAAATCTTCTTTTATGCTGCAGTTCAGAAGAAGGGTTACATGGACTTACAAGAGGTGGCTTGGGAGAATAATGTCTCATCCTGCTATGGGGCCACTCTTGCAAAGGACTCAAGTTGCACTCTACCTTGTAGTTGGACAGCAGCTGATCCTTCGTCATTTTTAATCCGTGGAGATAATTATCTGCAAGACCATCAAAAGGTTCTTCTAAAATGTTGCTACTTTTTAGAAATGAATTTAAACTTCGAAATAGAAGTATGTCATTTGAAAGTATGTGTGCATACAGACTGATTAATGTTGGATGAAAAAACTATTTGTGCAAAATTAAGAAATTGCGCAGCATAGTTTAGCAAGTGAACTGTTATTATGACAAATTACCATGGTGTAACCAACATGATATGTTCAATAACTGCTTAACCGTGGGATGTAGCAGACTGACTTTTTAGTCTTGTTCTATGATTAGAATCTCTGAATCTCAATAATTTTCCAAAAGGTTCACACATCTTTGAGGATCCATGGATAGAATGGACATAATTTATGTACACGTATATTTATAATATCTTACCCTTGGACAAATATATATTACAGTAACTGACACAAGCCTGGGTATAATTTCTATTTTTCGTGATCATTGTATGCCGCCGCCATCAACAGCACCATTGTTATCACATTAACATTATCAAATTATTTCTTATCAATGTCATTGTGATTATCACTCATTAATGTCTCTTTTCTACAGAATGAATTTGTCCAAAACGCACCATGGAACATTTTTGTATATTTCTATTTTTTAAACAAACGTTGTGATTATTTAATGTCTCTACACTAGATTAAGGCAAAAGGAACCTTGATGCAAATGATAGCTGCAGATTGGATAAAATCAGACAAGCGTGAAGATGATCTTGGTGGCCGCCCTGGAGGCATTGTTCAGGTTTGATCTACTCGTTGTGTACCTTGACATTGCAACCATATGTGCACTCACAGACTGATGTGTCTAAAAAGATCTTCCTTTCATATAAATTCTTGACACTCTGCAGAAATATGCAGCAAAAGGTGGGTCAGAATTTTTCTTCATTGTTAACATACAGGTGATAATTGTGGTTATTTTTTTGTTCTCTTGGGATCATCTGGAATTAGCATATTAATGGTGCTTGATGCCACTACATGATGAAATCAGGTTCCAGGTACAACGACATACAGTTTNGGTGGGTCAGAATTTTTCTTCATTGTTAACATACAGGTGATAATTGTGGTTATTTTTTTGTTCTCTTGGGAACATCTGGAATTAGCATATTAATGGTGCTTGATGCCACTACATGATGAAATCAGGTTCCAGGTACAACGACATACAGTCTAGCTCTATACTACATGATGAAATCTCCTTTAGACGAAACTCCTGTACTAGAGCACTTTGTCAATGGAGATAATGCGTATAGGAATTCAAGGTTCAAGCTCATTCCATACATTTCCAAGGTAAGTATATTTAGCACCAAGCGGATCTGTTTCTGAACTGAACACCATAACTAGTTTATTTATTTTTTTTTGAACAAGAACACCATAACTAGTTGAACTACAATGGTTTTCCTTCTTTTAAGAATTTGTCGATTGTAGAACTACTTTTCTACGGTTTGAAGGAAGGAGATTGTGTTTTAACGCTCACTACTCCTCTCTAGCATATAGAACTATGGACACTAAAAGCCTCTGCTGGTTGTTTTTTAGGGATCATGGATAGTCAAGCAGAGTGTTGGAAAGAAAGCTTGTTTGGTGGGTCAAGCACTTGAAGTACATTATTTTCGTGGGAAGAACTACTTGGAGGTAATAAGCAAAAATAGGTCTACAACCACGGATTGGAGTTTGGAATGCCAATATTTTTTTTATTTTGGGTTTCATTTATTCTCTCCACTGATTCAAAAATCAAAAAGTTCTGACCCTCAAATGGGTAATAATCAGGGGAAGAACTTGTCTGGATTGAAAAGTAAAACAAGTATCTTCTAAACCACTAAATTATTAACACTAGTCTCATTGTGTTCTCTCTCTCTCTCTCTCTCTCTCTCTCTAAGAGAGGTTGTTTTAACGAAGTAAACATTGCTTTTAATTGTTTTGGTGCTGGAACATATTTCTACACCAATCTAAGAAGTGTCATGTGATCTGCTAACCTTGAATACATGCCTGGATTTTCAGCTTGGTGTTGATGTTGGGTCATCAACAGTGGCCAGGGGTGTGGTCAGCCTTGTTCTCGGATACCTGAACAATTTGGTTATAGAAATGGCATTTTTGATACAGGTAAAACGACTATACCCTCAAGATAAAAGTCTATATAGTTCATCATCCACCATGGGTAATGGCATTTATAACTTACTCAATTTTGTGCTTGATCAATCATAACTTCTCAATTTTTTTGGCCATTTAACATTCACAAGCCGTATATTGTTATTGGATGATATACCACGTGCAACTAATGACGTGGTATCACTATGGTACTGAAGACCCACCCATGGTGTGAAGATTGTTCTTATATGACACCGAAAGAATACATTTTTGCAGGGTAACACGGAAGAGGAGCTCCCAGAATTCCTGCTTGGAACATGCCGACTTAATCATCTGGATGCGATGAAATCAGTTTCTATTGACTCCATGATTACTGACTAAACAATGTTAGTCGTGGGGGGGTGCATTGGATGCCGGATCATTCGATACAGAGCAAAGATGATGGAAAGAAATACAGACTAACTGTACATGAACATTTTTCATTCAGTTAATTAGAATTGGCAGGTAAATATCATGTCTATTGATTCTTTGGGTTGGGGCAATTCAATCTGTAAATTTCTATTTTTAAGTAAAGAATTATTCTTCACTCTTATTCTTTGTGATCTGTATAACTTGTTTCTTCTATGGTATAAATTCTTTAGTATTGTTAATGTTATGGAGGAAATTTTTGGATGTATTGGGTATGGGTGGTGGGGATGTAAATGAGCTGAACCGAGCCAAGCACACTATTCGTTTGCGGATAGTGCTTGGTATTGCCCATAATCGTGACAAGCTATTAACATCTTATTTATTTGTTGGCTGGATAAAGGTTTATATAAAGGTGGGATTGAGTAAAATGGATCCCACATATCCCATATTTGGCAAACTTATTTATCTTGGGGATAATTAATTCCGGCCTATTATGGCCCGTAATCTGCAAGAACTCATAATCCCCTCGGATAGGTTAATTTTAATGTATAATCAGGTTAGAGTCTCTCATTTGGTNCTGCAAGAACTCATAATCCCCTCGGATAGGTTAATTTTAATGTATAATCAGGTTAGGGTTTCTCATTTGGTATGTAAATCAATTTTAATTATATCGAATTTTTTATATATAAAAAGGTTCTCTAACATTTTAAAAAAGTTGTACGTGGTCCCTGTATGTGCGGTAACGTATAGGGGGTTGGATAGTTAGTTTGTTTTCATTGCTCATTTTATTATCTTTACATGATTTTAACTTAAAATATAATTAATTTTTTTTTTTTTGCGTTTGTTATTAATGATTTTGTAGTGTTGTATATCATTTTTTGAATTTTAAATTCGTAAACCAAGTAATTTGAAATCTACTGACTGTGATGAATAGGAGAAAGGGTGAGGGGAGTTTTTTTTTGGTCTTTTTCATTTTTTGAATGCTAATGGATTATGATTTTGGATAAAAATTCCTTAATTTACACAAGTATTTTTTGAATTTCAAATGGAGTAAGTTAAAACAACACCTTTGATGAACGTATCGTGTCTCGAGAACTGCATAGGTACATGTCTCTACACGTGTTATTTTAAGTACACAAAATTAAATTATCATTGGTACACATATTAAAAATTAAAAATTATATTTCATTCAAAAAAAGGAGATTACATATGTGATTTATTTGTTATATATTTAAAAAAAACACAAAACAATATCATCTTTTAATGTCCTTTAACTCTGTCTTAAGCTTCTTGGCTTTCTTTGTCTCTTGTTGCAACTTTTTGTTGAAGGGCTTGGCCATTTTCTTCCATTTGTCTCTTTGTTTGTTTGACATGTAGAGTTTGGATTCTAGTCGGTCGATATCAGCTTGCATGCGTTCCTATTTTGCATAGAAGTCGTCTGGGAAGCCTGGAAGCATTTACATGTTGGTTTGTGTTTTTTGTTGCCTTGCTTTTTCCATTTTTTTCTGTGTTTTTGATCTAAAGTTTAGATACGCTGTTTATAATGGTATTTTTCATGGGATAAATGAAAAGTTTTAAATGTATGTTTATTATAGTGTTAATTTCATAGATAATCGAAGAGACGTCTCATCTCAGTGAATTTATTGCAGAGATATACTGAATGCAATCATTATTAGTTAATGTAACTTAATGGTACAACAATAAAGAATGTCATCTTTTTTAGTGTACTTATTTGACAATTTGTATTTTTGGAGAAAAAAATACATTATGATGATATAGGTTTTTAGAATTGATTTTTAATCACGTGATGACATTGTCGTTATTTTTTACAATTTTAAAGGGTGATAGCTATGGTTATTGCTTTGACTTTTCAACAAGAACCTAATCTAAAAATAAATTGACGAGTTAATTTTTTTTTTTGAAATCTTATTGGGCCCAAATACCGACCTCCAAAAAAATCTAATTTTAATCCACCAAGCGGGTGGGATACAAAATGGCTTGAAACGCCTCCAATAGGATAAATATGAAAAATAGCGTGCTTATCCTTAATTATATATATTGCACATGTCAATTAAGGACGTGATGGTAAAATCTCGTCAATGCATTGTGAAATGATTACTCATTCCCAAATCATAAGGTTATAATATGAGCCCCATATAATTCAAAAATAATAGCCAAATAGTGCATTGGATAATGTTATAATTTGACCTAAACTCTTTAATTGTTATGAAAGAGAGTTTATTTGATAAACAACGGAAAAATTCTATATGAAATAGGATTATATAGTAAGAGTTTTAATATACTATAAATAAGTATTTTAGACATGTGATAGAAAACCAACAAATAAAGTTGTATCTGAATCTGTTTGGGTTACAGTATTTTATTCCTATTAATAATATTGAATATTATGTATTCAGTTATCAGATGATCAGATTTAAGTGAATAATACATTGATGTAGATTCTTGGTCTGTGGATGTAGGTAAGATATACCAAGGTAGGTATGTTTTGTCGAACCGCGTTATATCTTTGTGTTATGTAGGTATGCTTTATCGAACCACGTTATATCTTTGTATTATATTTATATTATTTTTTTATCTTTCAACAAGTATTATTTGTGTTAATTATCTGTTGTACAAAACTAACAAGTGGTATCAGAGCTATGTTTTAACAAGTGATATCAGATCTATATTCTAACAAGTGATATTAGAGTTATGTTTTAACAAGTTGTATCAGAGCTATATTCCTAACAAATGGTATCAAAGGCAAGTTCTAACAAGTGGTATTAGAGCTATATTCTAACAGATAAAGAATGAATTTTTTATTTAACTTGTACCTGGTTTGATTGAATTGGATTAGATGGATTTGGGCTTAAAATTTTAATCATATCTCATCCAACTCTTTTAGCCAAACACGCCCAATGGGTAGTTCTACCCACGCTTTATTTTTTTAATGGGTTTTTTGAAGGTCGGTACACCATAAGACACTTATTTGTGTAAAAATCTCATTTTATTTTTTTTTTTTGAATATAAGTTCAAGTAATAGTGAAAAAGACTCTTATATCCTTTCTTAAACACTTCATTTTTGTGTGAAAAAACAAAAAATCCACCTGATGAAAGTAGAAACCGTCACCTATTTTTGTTAAGATAACATTCATCCCCAAATTAAGAAATTTTGATTTTATCTTCACAGCTAACATTCATCCCCCAAATCAAGACGAGCATTTAATAAAAGTTTTAAAATTTAAAAATTCTTTTCCATCAATATTCAAAAATTAAAATTCAAAAGTTTCTCAACAGTGTGACAACATTGTTGGCTAGGACACAACTTTTTGTTGTCACACTGTGACAAACAATGTGTCACAATATTATTTGATTGAGTGCACATACGAAATGTTGTGTTTCTCACATTGTGACAACACAAATGTAACATCAAAAATTTAGTTGATTTTGACCATATAGTGTTGTCACTGTTACACTGATTGTCACATAGTGACAACACTATATAAAAGCGTTGAGTGATTGCTTGCCTACACAAAATGCTATGCTTGTCGCACCCCATCTCGGTCTCTCAAGGATGAGACGCGATTAAATTTTTGATACACCTGTTTACATATATAATTTAGATTAATAAGACACTCCAACAAGTGCAACAACACTACTTATCACCTTAGCTATTAAGCATGATGGTAAATACCTTACTCATAACTTGTATCATATATAACACATGTACCATTCTTTTTTTTCAAGCCATATACATATACAAAATCTCACACCCACATAGCAAATATCACAAAGTATGCTTGTTGAGTCTATTTACAATTATATACTATTAACCTGCTATAATAATCTCTCACTCAATATAATATACAACCCAACAAATAATTATACAGACACTCAACCTGTATCACTTAACTCATTAAAACTAAATACATAATTAACAGACATACAACCTGAGTAATATCACACTAACTTCGTCGGACCATTCTGGACTAAACTCAACTCTACGAGACAGTACTCAACCGACTGGACAATGAACTAATCTGTAACTCCCTCTATAGTACCTAAAAAAAAGAAATTATAAGGGTGTGACCTAAGTCATGCGTTTAGTGAGTATACATGTTGTATATGAAATAGAAATGATAGTAATACATAGAAATAGGTAGATACTATGTAGATACACGTATCAAACAATAACATCAATTCAATTCTATAGAATTCACAAGCCACAACACATTTATATTATCCCTCATCGGGTAGTGGATCCCACTTAGATCCGTGTCTCCCGAACCTCCCGAGAACACCACAGTGCTAGCCCACCACTGCACGCTCAGTGATCAGGCATCGATTCTCCTGTCTCAGACAGTGCGCCACATTCCACAATACATAATACACAGAACAAAGTATCATTCAATCACATAAGCACGTAGCACATAATCATGGAGAATTGCTATAAAATTCTTTCATTTATTATCATCTTATAATAGCATGTTCAAAACATATAAAAATATATATCCACCTCAAGTGTACAGATTTATGGGTCTTCGAACCTACCGGTGGATCCCTTCGGAGTTACCGTATCTGTTTCAATACCGACTATCCTACCTGTTCCACCTAACACATTTGTAATTACAATATTAATATATTTATCACATTTAATAGTTAATCATGCACTAATGCATGCAAGATGATTCAACCCAAAATGCCCCAATAACACTGGTTACCGCACTGTCCATTTACACATGACACATTAGATTTAAAACAGCCACACTAAACTTACACACACATTTGATCATGCAGAACAATCCCTTAATTAAACTCTTAAACCCTTCATTTCACTTCCACAAATCTCAGTTTCAACCTAGCCCACTAAAAGCATCTCGAGCATCTCAAATGTTCGTTTTTCACACTTTTCTCACACCCGGTTGAATACCCACTTGAAGCCCTTTCTTAACAACCCTTTAATTATGTTTAACACTCTTAATTAAACTCACACAAAGTTTCTTTTGAAATCTAAATAAAACAGCCCCCACACGCACACATGCTTAAAATTAATCACACACACACTAAAATGAACACACATACCCCCTTATACATTTCTCTTGTTTTCTTCTTCTTTCCCCACCTTCTTCTTGCCCCCTCTCACTCTTGGTTTGACATAGAGGTTTCCCCCAAGTTCCTCCCTTTTTCTTCTTTCTTCTCCCTCT